TAAGTATGGAGGGAGAACCTAATCTACAACAAAGGCCAAGTTCTCTTTAGAGGATTTTATTTCAAGATAAAGCATAACTTCCATCCTGACAATGATTCCAAAGGGTGAAAAAGGTGTCTTGCCCTCTTTCACCTTTCAAATAGAGCATGGCAGTGCAAACGTCTCCAAAACACCTCTGCATAGTTCTCAGTAGCTACAGTCCAGTCATAGAAAATGCTTCTCCATTTTCAACTGACATGAGATTTGTTAGGAAATCTCTGTAACAACTTATTCAGTTTCTTGGGGGGTAAATCCCCAGATTCTCCTGTGTCCTGGATTGATCGCATCTTTCGGGCTCTCTGAAAAGACAGAACAAAAACAAAAATGACAGCTCTACAGTTTTGTTTTGTTTTTTTTTTAAAGATTTTATTTATTCATGAGAGAGAGAGAGAGAAGCAGAGGGAGAAGCAGGCTCCCAAGGAGCAGGGAGCCCGATGAGGGACTCGATCCCAGGACCCTGGGATCATGACCTGAGCCGAAGGCAGACGCTTAACCATCTGACCCACCCAGGCGCCCCGACAGCTCTACAGTTTATCCCGACCTAGGCCAAAAGTTCTCACAATGCCACAAAGCACATTAATATATTAACCAGCCTGGAAATATCTGTTTCATCTACCCAATCCCCTTTCAAAAGGGACGTGAAACCTAAAGATGACTGGATGACCTGAAGCTACCATGCGAGTTTGCAATTAATTTTAGGCTAAAATCCAAATAACCTGCCCTTCACTATCTTTAGCTCTATTTCAGACATAATGTCTATTTGAGCAGCACTTTAAATTTTACAAAATGATTTTCCCATTCATTCCTTCATTTAACACTCACAACATTCTGTAAGGTGGGTATTAGTATTAACCTCCTTTTACAGCTGGTATAGCTAAAGCTTAGAGCAGCGAAACAAATCGCTCAAAATCATAATGCCTTCAAAACAACTTTTTCCACTTTGGCGTAAGTGAAATAGCTCCCACAACTTTCCTCGCCTTTTTAAAATGAGAAGGACTTCCTATCACCTACCAAGAGGCAAGGAGAACAATTACTTGTATCCCCGCCCCATTCTCCTCCCAAGAGGGCACCCTAAGGGCCTTCTGTCACCTCAGCCCTCGAAGCACAATCGAAGAAATCCTGGATCTCTTTTCTGCACGCTTCGTCGCGGAATTCATTCTGCTTCCAACACGCCATCATCAACGACATCTCTGTAATACAAGTCGCCTCTGGAGGAGCAGAACGAGAACCCTCAGTCACAAGGAAACCCTTACCTTAAGCCCTCCCACCCAGTCGCCCCGTACATCCCTCCAGCTTCCGCTCTGGAGCCTCCCTGGCTCCGACTGCTCACCGCCCTTCTCCCGGCGTCGTTCCCCAACACGGTTAGCCAGGATGAGGGGCTTGTTGGGCTTCAGTATAGGCTTCCGCGGGTTTCCTAGCCGCGGTAGGCGACCCCGCAGGCTGGGCGTCGCCATTGCGCACCGAACTCCCGGCAGGCTCTGCGCTCCGTGCGTGACGCTGCGTGACCCCTACGAGCTCGACGAGTCTAGGCGCGCAACCTGCGGAAAACTGGGAGGCCCTGCTTGCTCTCTTGGTCCTGTAGGCCCGATGAGGGGATCCAACATCGGTTGTTCAAGACCTGTGTGCAGGTTAGGAGGAGAGTTTTGGGGGCTCGTCCGCTGACCGAGACCGTTCTTTTGTGGGCTCCGGGCCCTGAGGTCTCCGGGCGGTATTAGGCCGGGAATATGCAGGAAAGGACCCGATAAATAGGACACTCGTTTATGGTGGTAGCTGGCTGAACTAGAGGATGATTGACATAGGCAAGGGCAGAGTATGGGAGCGAATCAAAATATGAGACTTTAAGATATTAGGTTGGGACAGTTTCTTACTATATTTTGAGGAGTCTTCAAGAACTGTTGGATTTTACTACCTTTAAAACCACCCCAAAACCGTAAAGAAAAGTTAGGCTCATTTAAACAGTTGCTAGTACTGGGGCACCTGGTGGCTCAGTCAGTTAAGCGTCCCACTCTTGATCTCAGCTCAGGTCTTGAACTGCGGGTTTTGAGTTCAAGCCCTGCACTGGGCTCCACGATGGGTGTGGAGCCTACTTGAATAAGTAAAAATAAAGTTGCTACTACTTATATGTTCTACTATATATTCTTTGCTCTCCTTTGTAATGATCTCATTGGGTAGGGTGAGTTTTAAGCACTTTGGCATTTATCGTCTAATTTAATCCTCTCTCCAATCCTGTGAAGATACTTGGTGGTATCATTATTAATAGACTTGACCCTTCAGTTGTGATGCCTGGCTTCATCAGACTTGGTTCTAAGTGTCTTTTAGCTGTTTACAAAACTCAAAGATGTGCCAGGATTCTCAGGGCATTTAGAAATGAGCTTCAAGAAATGTTTCTGGTAATGGAAGCGTAACTTGAACAGCTTTTAGTTCATAAGAGGACTACTTTGGAGGAGCAATATTTATTTGGTTATGTAAATTTTAGTGTGCTAAAATTAAAATAATTTATCACAGATGTTTAATCTTCCCATTGGATCTCTGCATGACTGGTTCTTTTTCTTCTGTTGAGTCTCAGTTCCTGTCAGAGAGGCCTTCCCTTACGTCCCCCATCCCCCCACCATCAAGCTGTTATATTTTTTTCATAGCACATATCACAGTCTGAATTACCTTGTTCATTTATTGTTTATTTACAGCCTTCCTTACCAGCGACACCCATTTAAAAAATGTAAGCACCATTAGAGAGGGGACCCTGTCTTACTGAATCCCAGTGCCTAGAAGTGACAATAAATACTTGTTAAATAAGCAAATGTTTTGACATATTTTTCCAAGCCTCCAAGTGTATCATACTCAGCCCAGAAATATAACCAAGCAGAAGACACTTTTTAAAAAAAAGTTTATTATACAAAATGAAACCTGAGAAAATAGAAAATTGCAACACATGGAGTAATAAAGGCATCAGTCTCATGCGCCACCGCCACCCTAGCAGCACAAATAAAACTGATTCCTAATCAGACACTTCTACCACCAATAATCTTGAGCCTGTTGCTGTTTACAGAGCAAGCGGGGCCCAAACCAGAGAAAATTCACATTGTTTGCTTTCTCTTCATACTGGTTCTGCTTTCTCTTGTGGAAATGTAGCATCTGGTTTACCGTGCTCTTTTATGAACACTTTTATGGTGATAGGATTAAAAGAGAAAGTCTGGGAAGCACTGTCCACAAAGCAGGCATGAGTCTCCAGCCACAATCATTCATAAACAACTGGCCCACTTTGTACATAAAAGTGCTAAAGGAATGCCAATGTGAACTGCTGTAATTAGGAGAGGTAAGGATGATTATACACTTTGCACTTACCCTTTTTATTGCACATAATGAAACTTGATTCCTAACCTTAGTTTGCACTTGAGTAATATGTATTTTGCACTATAAATCAGCACCTGCATTTAAATAGACTGCAAGTTCAGAAATCAGAGTCCTGAATTTGACTTTTTTGTGGGTTGCTACTATTTTAATATAAGTATGTTTGAAGGTCTATATTCCCCTCTTGTTTTTTTCTGTACAAGCCCAAACAGGTTAAGCAAACTTTTTTTTTTTTTTAAAGATTTTATTTATTTATCTGACAGAGACACAGCGAGAGAGGGAACACAAGCAGGGGGAGTGGGAGAGGGAGAAGCAGGCTTCCCGCGGAGCAGGAAGCCCGATGTGGGGCTCGATCCCAGGACCCCGGGATCATGACCTGAGCTGAAGGCAGACGCTTAACGAATGAGCCACCCAGGCACCCCAACTTTCTTTCTTTTTTTTTTTTTTTTTAAGATTTTTATTTATTTGGCAGACACAGTGAGAGAGGGAACACAAGCAGGGGGAGTGGGAGAGGGTGAGCAGGGAGCCCGATGCGGGGCTCGATCTCAGGACCCTGGGATCATGACCTGAGCCGAAGGCAGACACTTAACGACTGAGCCACCCAGGCACCCACCCCTAAGCAAACTTTCCATGCTGGTGTGAAGGGTATTTTTTACTAAAAAATAAAATGGAAAAAGAACCACACTGGCAATGAAATCCAGCCCAAATTACAGCTCTCCTTGGCCACATCCTTAGATGTCACAATATTAAGGGTGGGACCCATCTAACATACGTACATACATACACATACATACACACACATACATCTGGTTGTAAATTAGTGTGTGTATATGTATGTAAAAGTACGTAATTTACAAACAGATAAACTGATAAGCTATGGAACTTCTCTAGTGATAATTCATTAATACTACATTACAACCAGAATAGCACTAAGGTCCAAAGTATTCTTTTTTGTTCCACTGGCCCAGAAAAGGCTAACGGTCTCCCTGCCCATTAAGCTTTATTTTCAAACCACAGCAATAAAAGGGTTTGGCTGTACCCCAAAATCGCCTAACAGCTTTTTATTTAGCCAGCCACTTGTGGCTATCTCTTGCCTCACCTCCCCTTGAGATTAGGACCTTAGGTGGGTTCCATCAAAATGTAGTCTCAGTAAGTACTATAAAGTTGTACAGACGGATATTGGTAATAGAATGAAGTTGGAATATTCATTCCACATAAAGTGAAAAATGCTACATAATATGAGGTAATTGCTACAACTATATTGCTGGGCTGTGTTTTCCAACATAATCTTCATGACTCTTTGGGAAAAATGAGACTTAAATTGTAGCATATAAAAATAATAGGGAGTTCATTAGGCAAACAGAAAAGACCAAAGACCTATAAAAATCTGCAGTTTGATTTGCACTGATCTATTTTAACATTTCAAAATCATTTAAATATTCATATGTGTATATATATACATGAATGATATATATATACTCTGTCATCATTTACAGCCTTAATCTCTAACCTCAAATAAAGCAGGACAATTCATTAAATTGACATGGCATATATTAGCCATTGAGTCTTTCTGTTCATGAGAAGGAATTCCAGATATGCTCTTAAAAAAAAAAAAAAAGCAAACCAGCAATAAAAAAAGCTGTCAAATCTACAGCCAGTTTAATGCAGGGGAGAATGAATGTGGGGATGGTGGCAAGGCTACTGCATCTTCATCAGATACAGTGGACAACCAGGAAAGAAAAATCCATTTAAAATAAAAAGTCTGACATCAAAGGCAAGTAAATGATATAAAAAATACAACTCCAAGAACCAGAATACAACCCACCAGGAGTTGTGCTTCACCACCAACATAACAGTTTATAAAGCAGGAGACGAGGAAAAGAGATTAGGAAAGGTACTGAATAATGAAGAATTTAAGGAATAGCATCGAAGTTTTAAGACCATAAACCTGACCCATCTTACCTCATTCTTAGACAAGTACCAAGGTGTTGTTCCAATCACAGTTGAGAGGATGAAATGGCTAGAGAAAGATGCAGATCTTTTACAATTCTGTTCAATCAGCACTTTGAAACAAGTGGGTGTTTCAGGCTTTTGCTTCCCACTAATCCCAAGAACTGGAGGCTTCCATCTCTCCTTGAGGACAGGCCCTATTACCACAAGCTGAGACACTGGATACACATCGTTAAGATAAAATATCAATGGCTGTAACTGGAATTCCTTGAACTCATGATAAGACAATGTTCATTAAGGTTGTGCAGCAGATGCCCCTCATGTCCCATAGTAGAATAAGGACTTCCATCTCCTTAGCTCTGCTAAGTTAAAGGCTCTTGCAAGGGTAATTAGAGATTTTGGTTCCTTTTCATGAAGATCTCATGTAGGTAATCCCAAAATTTCATCTGCTTTGTCTCATTGTTGTGGATCATGGCAGTGAGAGCTTCCCCCTGGTCCAGACCTTGCCAATAATCTTGCAGCCACATCTCCTTCCAGCTGAAACATCAAAATGGGAGTTGGATTATGGAACCTCTGCACAGCTATGAGTCCTGCCTTCTCTGAATGGGGTAAAAGAAATCTTAAGCAGAAACAGTAGTCTCTGTCTGGGACAGGGCTCTGCTTTGAAGGGAAGGAAATGTGAAATAAATCTAGTAGTAGTACAAGTGACAGTAAGCTGCAAACACATTATCTATCACACAGCCCACCCCCAATGAGTTACACTTCCTGTCTTGCCCACTCTGGGTTCCCAAATGTGGAAGGAGTTCAGGGGAAGGCAGGGCAAGGGCCACACTATGGAACCAGAAGTCTCTGTAAGAAAAGCCAGGGAGCCTCTTTAGATGGTTACCTTGTAAGTTGCACCTTTATTTCAATAATCAAAATGAAGGTGCAATGCTGTCCAATGTCTAGATAAAACATATATTCTTTTTTTCTAATGTTTTACACTTTTCTTCTACTAAATCATAATACTATGTTCAGCATAAACCAGATACAAATTACTTGATGGAGGACTCCATTCCCAGAACCAAACTCTTGTCTGCAGTGTATATAAACAGCCCTCTGCTGCCATCCACTGTGCAAGTTGGTCTCTGCAGGCCATTCTAGCAGTCTTTGCTTTCTTAAGCTGAATAATCTTATCACCTCTCCCTGAAAAGATGTGGTTTGCTGCAAGTGTCTTCAACATTTTCCCACCTCCCATGCTGACCTTGTTTCCCAGTGCACCACCTTCTGCCACTTACTGCAGTAGCTTCCTCACTTCTCTTCCAATTCACACTGCCCACCATTGTTATTATCCATTGAAAGCAGTCCTGTCTTGTTTAGAGCGAATGTATATAATTTATCATCCAAATCAGGGTACTTTTGAGAGTGAAAGGAGGTACTATTAGTAATTATGCCAGGTTAACAGATGTAAACCCTACTGCAGACAAACCTCTCTCAAAATATCCATCTTTGTATTGCTCTTCCCCACCCCACCCTTTAGAAGGTGCTAAATAAACAGCTGAGTTGATTTTCAGAAGAGTCCAACTTCTGAGCCTGGTATTCAGGCTATGTATAGCCTGGTCCCAGTTTATCTGCCCAACTTGGTCTCTCATCACTTCCTCTGAACAGGCCCCCCTGCTCTGGTTGAAGCCTTTTCTGAATCACTATTGCAAACACTGCTCACATAAGCTGATCTTCATGTTGTTGCCTTGAATTATATTTTGCATCTTTTACTGAGCTTTTTCAGTTTGTCTTATCTCCCCCAACTAGACTCCTGACACCTTAAAGGCAGGGTAAGCCCATGTCATCACTTCCTTATACAACAATCCCCTCAGCACCTAGTATTAGTTCGCTGCCCACAGCAAGCAAGTCAGTCATTTGATTTGATGGCCACAGGGACCCCGGCTATCCTTACCTGTCATTCTCAGGAATCTCTTCCACACTGCCAAAGCCAGGTGTGGGCACCGGGCAGTCCATGTGTGAGGGCTGGGCAATGTGAGGTTCAGGGCCAGGGATGTCCCCAGGAGAGGCTGCGTGGGCTTTCTCGGCCTCCAGCCGAGCCAGTTCATGGTCACAGACGAAACACTCGAAACCATTGAGGTAGTTAGGCAGCAAAGGATCATTCACTCCCCACTCCCGATGCTTCAGACTATCCAGAAGGAACTGGTTGGTGATGCCCCCAGGTTGCTTATATGCCAAGTATTTCATGTATTCCTCATCATTCTTGTCCAGAAAGTCAATAAATTCTGCCAGCTTCTGAGGTGACTCAAAGTCATCAATGAGGATGATGGAGTGATTGTTGGGCATCCAGTCCCTCACAGAGGGAGAGCCGCGATACACAGGCACAGCCCCGAGATGCATGGGGCGCCACAGTTTTTCTGTCATGTAGTCATCACAGATGGCATTTTCGAGGGCCAAGTGGAACTTATAGCGAGACAAGAAGGCCAAGAGCTCTGGATCCTCGGTGGTAGCTGTGGCTGTGTCCTGTAACCGCGGAGTGGGCAGCTCCCGATTTTGCAGGCATTTCCCATAGGAGTCCACCTGAGCGGGGTAGAGTACAGCCGTCAAGTGGGTGCTGCATGTCGGCCTGGACGCCAGGGGTCCTGGCCTCAGCCGCACGCGCCCCCTGGCCGCCCCACCCCAGCCCCGTCCCGGCCCCACCCACCGGGATGAAGCGCATCAGCTCGCGCACGTAGCGGTCCCGGTCCGCAGGCACGTCGCAGTGGGACTGCAGATAGAGCAGCGGCGCGTAGCCGCGCCGGCGCCACTCCGCGCGCTCCTGTAGCGGAGGCGCGGCGCGGCGCAGGTAGGCGGTCCCGGGCAGCCACTGCAGCGGCAGCGGGTAGTCAGAATGACGGCTGAAGGTGGCAGTGAGATTGAAGAGGCGGATGCCCGGACCGTGGCTCAGCACGAAGTTGTTGAGGGGCGATTCCTCGTGCAGGAGCGCCCAGCTCTGATGTGCCAGGCGCGGCAGCGGCGCCTCAGACGCGCGAAAGTCAGTGCCGTAGAAGAGCAGCGCGCGCGTCCGTGAGTGCCCCCGCACCCGTCGGTCCCGGGACGCCACGCACGCACCGCGCGCGCACTCGATGCGCTCCGAGTCGCCCGGGAAGTGGGGAAATAGCCCTGGGCTCCACCACAACAGCACCGGCAAGTCCACCGCCTCCTCCCTCCCTGGCCGCGGGGTCCCCGGACTGCGCGCCACCCCCACCGCGCCCAGCGCTGAGGGCGGCCGGAAAACCGCACCATCCCAAGGCTCCGTCCATTCCGCCTCCCCGCCGGTGTCCCCCTCAGCCACGGGCCCAGAGCCGCTGACGGCACAAACACTAAGCACTCCAAAAACGGCAAACACAGCCCTGCTGCGGCCCGCCGCCATGTCCACTGGCAGCTGCCCCCTTCCCCCCCGCCCCCAACTCCTCCCGGCAGCACCAGACCCCGCCCCGCCGTGAGTCGGGACGGATGAGGTCCTACGCCCGCGGTGCGTGTGACGCATGCGCAGTTCTGCTCAGCCGGCCCCTTCCTGGGGAAGGGCTAGGCCTAGCAGGAATGAATGGAGGGGAACAGCGGTAAATCACAAGTAAAAACGAGGCTAATTGTTACATCTTATTTTATTTCTTTACAAATTAAAGATGCATTGAAAAATAAACCAATGAAGATAAATGAGAGGTCCAGAGCAGGGGAATCCCAGGCTGGGAGCAGACAAGCCTGGCCACCATCAAGCCTAGCCCTTGTCCTGCCCCAGCCAGTTCAGGTTGGAAGATAACTGTCAGCCACTCTGTCAATACCAAAAGCTCGAGTGGTGTCCCGGCAGGAGAGAACAGAGCTCCAGCCGCCTCTGCCTCTCTCCCCAACAACTCCCACCTTGGAGAAGCAGTGTTTCCAGTGGGAGCTCAGAGTGGAATAGGGGCTGGCTCTGTGAGGTATTGCAAGTTGATGACCAGGCTCCCTACACAACCATCCAGTGTTGGAGCCTCTCCAGCTGGAAAAGAGGCTGGTACCTCTCCCAGGTCTTAATATTCTTTGCAACTCATTTCCCAGGCTCATTCATCTCTGATAATGTGCCTCTATCACTGAGTGATCACTGATCATTGCAGGAGAGAAAAAAGCTAATCAACCACTCTCCCTAACTTTGACTTGGTTGCTGACTTCCAGGCCCAAGAAGGACTGACCAACCACTTCTCTCTCCACCATCTATGGTCTATACCCCAGCTCTTGTGCACCTGTATGTTTTATCCCTAATATAGGAAGTTGTCGATGACACTGAGCTGAATTAGCCCCTCCCCCCCATGGTAACCCTGGGATTCCCACTCCTTCCTGCCTGCCCCTCTCTTCTTGGAGGCTGGTCCAAGGGGGCACATAATATTGCCAGAGTCTGGGTGCCTCCAAATCCCCCAACACCGAATCATATACAGTGAACTGAGAAACTACATTCATTACGACAGGATTAGCAGTAAAAGGAGGGTAATGTGAGGGGATAGGGGCACCTTTCATCAGCAGGACATGACAGAGTGGTAGGATACTTGATCCCAGAAAGGTGTCTCCTTATACCTCCCCCTCCCCCCAAAGAGACTGAGGTCAGCTAACATGACTTAGATATGGAACTGTTCCAATTTCTCTGCCATCCTGGGGTACTTTCTGGAAGCTGGCCTGGCACCCTATGCCATTTACCCACTTGCTCTAGCTCAGTAGCTGCCGAATTTCCTTGTGCATATGACACAGAAAGTCCACATAGGATGCTCCCCCGCTCAAGCTCTTATCTTCCACCAGGAAGTGCTTGAACAGCATCTCCAGCTTGTCCTCCTGTTTCACCACGATAAGCTACGGCCAGAAAATAGGGTCATGAGGCAGGGATTAAACATGCCCTAAAATCCCATCGTCCAATCACTTATTCTCACCCCCCTTTCCAGGAGAGGACAAGGTTAAGAAATCCAGGGTTTAGATCAGTGTTACCTTCATGTACCGTGATCTCTGTGCCCTTAAGCTATCAATGAGGCCTCGCACCTTCTTGGACAGCGGATTATCCAGAACCGGCAGAACACTCTGCAACACAAAATTCATTTATCCTTATGGTAAGATACTCTGAGTCCAGTAAAAAAAAATGGGCCAGCACAGATTTATTCATCATCTGAAATAAGCCCGGGAATAATGACAGCACCCTCCCTCCTTTCCAAATGTTCCCTGCTATTAAAGGGGACTAGCACACAAACTTTACTGGTTCCCACTCATGTCACAAAATACATTTCCACATCCATATTCCCCTTGACTCCTTGCCCTCACCAAGCCACTGGTGATCTGACTGAAGGAGGAGACACTGAAGAGGCTCTGGACAACACCCTGTTGGACACTTGCTCCCACCCACAGGAAAAGGTTGAGCCCATTCTCCAGCAAATATATATCCCCATTGCTTAGACGTTCTTCAGATGCTCGAACTGCTGGTGGTTCAGTGGCACTCTCAATGGGAGACTTTGTCTAGGCAAAAGAAAGGGGGCAAAAGGTTATTTACCAAAGACTGTAAGACACATTCGCACGCCGCCCCCCAACGAAATTTCAGAGAGCTCAATCTCTCAGTGACTTTTTCAGTGTGAAAATTACATCAGATAATGCAGGTTAAACACAAATACACTAGTGTCAGACACAGATAATATTAACCCTTCCCTTCCTCCTATGATACCCTTTTCTCAGCACACAATGTCTCATCCAGCCCTCAGTCGCACCAATGGTAGAAGCCGAGGATAAAAGAAGACATTGGTCTCAGCCACATCCATGGAAGTAACCAGCTGTCGGACATAGGCACGGTCATCAGTAGTAACTTCAGCTCCAGGCTGCAGGACGTCACTCTTCAACACACAGTTCAGGTAAACTGGGAGTAGCTTCATGCACTCAGGAAGGATCAACTGCAGGGGTTACCAAAATAAAGTGAATGATCATGAGCAATCTCTCCCAAATGCGAACATGTGTCCCAACAATTCCTCCAGTGCTTGCCCACCTGTCCCGCAGAGGAGGGGCTGGCACAGTTCTTTCTGTAACAGGCCAGGATCTGGGCACACTGAGTGATGAGAGTATCACGGACAGTCTTCACGGGGCTATTGAGCACCCCCCGGTATGCTGGATGGGAAAGGGAGACAGCACAGTCACTGGCTGGCCACCCCCCTGCACCTGCTTCGCTGCCACCATACCTACCTGGGAATGCTGAATCACTGACAACCACCTTTCAGCCCCAATCCCACTTCGCCCTGCCTCTACCCTCACCAAACTTGGCCATGTAGTTGATGAGCGTGTCAGTCTCACAGTTTCGATACAGATCAGCCAGCTGGGTGCAGCAGTTCAGGGCCAGATTGTGGATGCGGAGCCGTCGCTGCCCTGCACAGCTGGTGTAGAGCAGGGCACACTAGGGGAAGGGAGAAAGGGAGAACTCATACCCCTCCCTCCCCAAAGCCCTCTGAAAAACTGCTCCTTTGCCGTATTATTAAGCTAGAAGAAAGACAGGAGCCATCCCTTCCCTGGCCTCTTCCAGTCCTCTCCACCTACCTCCTACCCTCTTCCCTGCAGCCTATTTATATCCAGTACAATGATATTTGACACTTCTTCCCCAGCCCCTGCCTCCCGCCTGCTACCTGCAGGAGGGCTCCACTCTCTTCATTGAGCCGATCGTCATGCTTGAACTCCACAGTCACTGTCTTGTCCCCATCCAGCCCAGCCAGCTCCACATCTGTTGTGTTGCTCATGTAGAAAGCCCCGAAGAAATCTACAGCACGGATACCTGAGGCCACATGGATAAGGTCAGGGCTACAGATATTACAGGTGCCACTTGCCTCCCTCCCGGGGTTAGTCCCCAACCTGCTCTTCTCCAACCAGGACTGACCGGTGCTTGTCCGAACGCGCATCACAGCATCAAAGCCAACAACCTTCTGGACATCCCGACGCAGGTCACTCAGGAACCGTTCCTGGTCATTCTCCACCTGCAGCCCCCCAGGGCCAGAGTCACATCACTGACTACATAACAACCTGGAGACTATCTCCCTGCAGCCCCTCCATTCTACAAGCTGCTGAGTCATAATAACAATAACAGTGGGGAAGATGATAATAATGATGATAATGACAATGATAGCTTTTAAGCATTTACTATGTGCCAAGTACCACATTAAGTACTTTACATATAACGACTTGATCCTGATGAAAAATCTTAATTAAGAAATATTAAATTCCCATTTTACAGATGAAGAAACAAAGAAGCAATAATTGAGTAATTTCTCCCAGGTCATATTGCTAGTATTCTGGGAGGGCCAGAATAACAAGCCAAAACTGATTATAAGCTCCATGCTCCTAACCACGACCCTTATGGCTCTCTTCTTTATATTATAGGGTTTTTTCCTCCACCAGGATTCCTATTGATGAGTCAGCAGCCAAAGAGCTGCTCTGCATGTAGGCAGACATTCTAGTCCTGTTCCCACCTGCCACCCAGCGTCCCATGCCCTACCTGAAAGCAAGCATATTTGTAGACAGAGCCACCCGTGAGCTGGGGCACAACAGAGAGTGTGGCCACATCCACATACTGGTTAGGGAAGAGGAAGAGATCTACACTGCAGCCTTGGGCCACACACTCTTTGGCCAGGGTCTGATAGGCACCTGTCTGAGGCTGGAACAGAGTCTGGGGAAGAACAGAATAAAACATTCAAACAGCTCAGCTCCACCCTACTTGAGAACTATATATTTAATATGGGATATTCAAATATATGTAAGACTTCAGATCTACTTCATAGATATTTGCAACAGTAGTAGAACATTCTCTAAAAAAAAAGAATCCGTCCCGGGCTTTGGGATGAAATGGGGTAGAGATGTGTGGGAGCACTGGAGAAAGTTGGCAGTCATGGACTTGACACGTGAAAGAGCAGAGTGTCTAGTCCCAGTACCTCTTCAAGCAAGTTAAGAGTATTGCATTGCATTGCAAGAATCACCACCTTCCTCTGTCATGGAAAGTCCTCCCCCCATCTCCCAAACCCACACCTTCTCCTTGTCTGTGTTGATCAACTTCCTGTCGTCTCTGTTCTTCAGTTTCCCTGGGGCCTCTGCAATGGGCAGGGAGGTATGGAACAGAAACAGCTTCCCTGCACACTCAGCAGCCTAGGAAAGAGAGGACTACTTGTTCATTCTTTCCTTTATTCAGCTATTATTCATTCAACCCTTCCCTCGTCATTTATTCAGTGTCAGTTATGTCAGATATGCTGACTCACTGGACAGTCTTCAATCACTAAAGAAAGAGGAGTTATATCCCAGGGTATAAGACGGTCGGAGGAAAGCGAGGCAGAGGAAGTTGTCAGGGTTCTAGCCGTACCTTTAGAGCCTCCATCCCAGCCTGGATAACTGGGGCAAATACTGTCTCTGTCTCCCTCGTGTCTGCAAACATT